TGAGGACATGTTGTGCAATTTACAGACATAGTCATAGACCTGTCTTGCTAGATTTTCACTTTGCCTGAGGATGAGAAACATCATGAGTATAGAATTTCCATCAACAGAAGCCAGTTTCTATCTCTGTAAGCATCTAGATGTAAGTAAATACCAGCGTGTTGACAAGTAGTACTCAACTCTTTCTTTCTTTTGTTAGTGCCATCAGTGGCTTGAAGCAAGAGTGAATCAGGTCAGATGTGCATGGTCCAGAGGTCATACAATAGATTTGCCTCCATTTTCACTGTTTGCTTTCCAAACAGACCAGTTAGGACTCTGAATGTTTACAATTCATACACAGGTTCATTTGGGGATCACGGTGTACAACATCATTAAAAAACACAGCTGAATCATCTTCAACACCATTGTGTTCATTCAGTTTGTCACGTGGTTTGTGCTCTAAAGCGGCATATCGTGAGAAGTCGATGCAAAACAAGCTAACCGCCTGTTAAATGCCCCACATATTTACTAAGAAGAAAAGGGTAATCAGTCCGTCAACAAAGGGAGAAGCATCAGGGCGAAGCATGAAATTGTGCCAAGTTTTTTATCTTCTTACACTGATGAGTTGGAATGTTGTTTCAAGGTTGGTTGCATAGCAGGATCAAGGAAACTGAAGTCAGTCTACGGGATAACTTTATAAGTGCTGGGAGTAGATCCAGGATGTGCAACACCGCCACTGAAATCTGACTCTGACAGCAGATGACTGTCATATATACTGAGGTTAAACAAAACACACAACTGTGTTTTTGTGATACACACAGACACACAAACACAGACAGACAATTTCCTGTGTTTAGAGCAGGTAAACACGCTCAAAATTGAATGATCACATCCACCCTAAAGGTGCACTTGTATATTTGTCTCAGTCGATCTGCTCAAAGCCTGCAGAATGCCATATCATAGATGCACCTTAATCCGTGTCTGCTGTGTCTGACTCATGTAGCTACGTCTGTCTGTCTCAGTTACCCTGCTGAACAGTTACCAAGACCCCCAAGAGACCTGGGAACAAGTGTAGCAGAATTTTATGGTCATTGTAGGAGGCTGATGTTCAGCTGACAGACCTCTGAAGTGGTGGATGCTTTAAAAA